CCAGGTGTCCCTATATCTGTCTCTTCTTTTCACCAATACCACACTGTCTTAATTACTGTAGCTTTATATAGGTTGTGAAGTCAGTGTCAGTCTTCTTAGTTTTTCTTCAATATTGTGCTATTCTGGGCTTTTTGCCTTTACATATAAATTTTATTTTATTTTATTTTTTTAAAGATTTTATTCATTTATTTGACAGAGAGAGAGACACAGAGAGAGAGGGAACACAAGCAGGGGGAGTGGGGGAGGGAGAAGCAGGCCTCCCGCCGAGCAGGGAGCCCGATGTGGGACTCGATCCCAGGACCCTGGAACCATGACCTGAGCCGAAGGCAGACGCTCAACGACTGAGCCACCCAGGCGCCCTTTACATATAAATTTTAAAATAAGTTTGTCAATATCTACAAAATAGCGTGCAGGGGTTTTGATTATGATTGCACTAAATCTACAGATTTTAAGTTGGGAAGAAGTGACATCTGGACAATATTAAGTGTTCTATCCACAAATATGGAACATCTCTCCGTTTATTTAGTTCCTCTTGGGTTATTTCATCAGAGTTTTGTATTTTTCCTCAGATAGATTTGTTAATATTTTATTAGATTCATACCTAAGTATTTCAATTTTGGGGAAGATAATATAATTGGTATATTGTGTTTTACATTTCAGATTCCACATGCTCACTGATGATATATAGGAGACATTTGTGTTTTAACCACATCTCCTGCCACCCTGCTATAATCACTTATAAATTCCAGGAATGTTTTTTTGTTAACACTTCCAGATTTTCTACATAGATGATGATCATGTTATGTGCACATAAAGACAGTTTTATTTTTTTCCTTCCCAATCTCTATCTCTTACTCCCTTTACTTCTCTTAGTACATTAGCTAGGACTTCAAGTATGATGTTGAAAAGGAATTTTTGAGGAATTTTACATCTATGCTCATGAGAGATATTGGTCTAAAGTTTTCCTATCTTGTAATGTCTTTGTCTCATTTTGTTATTAGGGTAATGTTGGCCTTATGAGTTAGGAATTATCCCTTCTCCTATCTTCTGAAAGAGATTCAAGAGAATTGGTATAATTCCTTCCTAAATGATGGTGGAATTCACTAGTGAACCCATCTGGGCTTGGTGCTTTCCGTTTTAGGTTATTAACTATTGATGCAATTTCTTTAACAGATAGAGGCCTGTTCATATTTGTCTGTTTCTTCTGGTGAGAATTTTGGCAGATTATGTCTTTCAAGGAATTGGTCCATTTCATCTAGGTTACCAATTTGTGGGCATGGAGTTATTCATGGTATTCCTTAATTATCCTTTTGATGTTCATGGGATTTGTAGTGATGTCCTGTTTTTCATTTCTGACATCACTAATTTGTGTCCACTCTCTTTTTTTCTTAGTTAGCCTGGCTAGTGGCTTATCAATCTTACTGATCTTTTCAAAGAATCAGCCTTTGCTTTATATGAGAAGTTTCTTCTAAGTATTATTTTCACTGAAAATTTTCAACCATAAATTTGGTATGTTATATTTTCATTTAATTGAAAATAATTTAAACATTTTGTCTTGAGATTTCTTCTTTGACCCAAGTGCTATGTGGAAGTGTATTACTTAATATCTAAATATGTGGGGATTTTAAAGATCTCTTCCTACAACTGATTTCTAGTTTAATTCCATTTTGTGGTCTGACAGCAAACACTGTATATTGTCTAGGTATTAAATTTTCAGAAGATCGAATATAGAAAATTCCTTTTTTATGGATCTCTATTTTTAGAAAAATACTTCATTTGATTTTTAAGTTGCAAAGTTCACATTTTAAAATTTATCAATCATTTAAAAAGACTGACTTACAGCTTAAAAAAAAAACAACCCAGAATTCTAAAGACTAGATAACTTTTGTCACATAATCTTCTTTTGAGAGTCACGCAGAAACATGTTTCCAACACCAGAGATCTCCAAGAAAATTAGCATTACTTTAAAGAAATAGTTTTAAATAAGAGAAGCAGATTTTTCATTTCACTAGTAAAAAACAATATTCACCAATGAAGAAAAATATTGAAGTATAATATATTAAATAAAAAAGTCAAAATTCTATTTGCTTTACTTGCTCTTCACTTATTATCTCAGTTTCTAAGGGAATTTCTTGCTAAAAAGAGTACGGCCTCCTTAAACACCCTACTCCTACAAGTTTAGAAAATGCTTTTAATATCATCTATCAGTTTTAAAACAATAATTTCTCTGCAATATAAAAAAGCAAACGTTCTCACTTCTCTAAGCTCAGTTCTACTTTCCCATAATTTGTATCCACTGATCCTGGCTCAGTGCTTGAGAGAAATACTCTTAAGAGAAATACTCTTACACAAATCAATCCTTTAGATGTTTAAAGATAGTTCTATCTCCCTAAATTTCTGCTGGATCAAATATTTTCAGCTCATTCAATCATCTTCTTTGTGGTTCTTCACATAAAGGACTTATTCTACTAATGTTCTTCTTAGAGTCTGGCATCCGAATCTAAATACCAGACTCCAGGAAGGATGTCATCAGGGCCAAGTAGGATAATGTCGTACACATTATTTGGGGTACATAATGTATTTTAATGACAACTAAGATGATAATTTTGGCGACAGGCAAGAATAACAGGTCACCAAAAATAACACAATGCTTTTCACATTCAACATTCACAAAAATAAGAGACTTTTATGGACAAGACAGTCCACATTTGTCAAAAGTAGTACTATTGCGTCAATTTAAAGGTAACTGAAATGCCATGTCACAGAACATGTCAAGTATATGAAGCATAAACAGACCAAACTGAGAATTTGTGGAAAACAATGGTACTTCCCCAGAAAATATACATATTAAATAAAACTAAGAGCTACTATTTACAATAAAAGGGATTTCCACAGGTGCCTGAAGCTCATCTACAGATCCCAGAGCTGTACTATACTCACTAGTATAACCACAATTGCTCAGCATAGTGCTTAATTACACAAGTCGATATACAATATAAATGTATATATTGTATATATGTATCTAATGTATATATTCCTCACAATAATTTTACTATCATCCTCATCTTAAAGTGCAGGAAAGAGAATATCAAACAAATTAAGCAATCTGCCTTCAGACGGTAAACAGAGGAACCCAGATTTAAGCACAGTTAACTTTAAACACATCACCTCAACACTTCTCTCACATCATGCATTAGGGTATGATCTAATTAAAACACTGTACATTAGAAATTGTTTTAGGCATTATGACTCATCAGTAATAATTATAATTATTTTTTTCTGTCATATTTTCTTCATCTACAAAGTAGGAGAGAATATCGCTTAAACAACTACGCAAGGTTGATACAGGAAATAGAAGAAGTGGTAAGACATCATGAATAGAACTTCATTCAATGTATGTATTCATAGGGAGAGATGGTAAGTGAATTTCATTTCAGGACTACTTTGCTAATTTAGTACATTAACTATATGGAGAACCACATTATAGTATGATTAAAGGGTGCTTATAAAACACTCCCTTATAAACTCATTCGATTCACATTTATTCTTTTTTTTAAAAGATTTTATTACTTGAGAGCGAGAGAGAGAGTGCACAAGCAGGGGGAGGGGCAAAGGGAGAGGGAAAAGCAGACTCCCCACTGAGCAGGGAACCCCACATGGGGCTCGATCCCAATCATGACCCAAGCCGAAGGCAGACACTTAACCGACTGAGCCACCCAGGCACCCCTCATATTTATTCTTATGGCATGAAAGTTGAGCTTCCCTGACACAAACAAATATTCAAATTTCCAGATTATTTCTTCAAAACATTAATAATCACTAACACAAATCTGCTAAAACTGAAAATGAGCAAAATCAGAGGTTAAGTTTGAAGTCAAGGAGTTTTTCATAAGCCAGTTATATACTCACTAGTTTTCCCTATTTTAGTTATAGATTTATTTATAGATCCTAATCATTTCAAAATTAATATAAACTGTGGGTATTAATGAAATAAATTCTAAATAATTACATGGCAAAAACAGAAAACTGAGACACAGAGATTCTTCTTTTTAAGATTTATTTATTTGAAAGAGAGAGAGAGCATACAAGAGCGGGGGGGGAGGGGCGGACAGAGAGATAGAGATTTCTCCAGCAGACTCCCTGCTGAGCGAGGAGGTGAAGGCAGGGCTTGATTCCATGACCCCAAGATCATGACCTGAGCTGAAATCAAGAGTCAGAGGCTTAACCAAATGAGCCAACCAGGTGCCCCAGAGACACAACGATTCTGAATAATGATGCTAGTGTCACTTAATGATTAAAAAATATAGTTTTATTTTAAGGTTTTACATGAAATGTTTCCACTCAAATGTATCTATCAATACAAATAAGAGGGGCTGGCTCAGTTGGTAGAATATGCGACTCTTGATGTCAGCGTTGTGGGTTCGAGCCCCAGTTGGGTGCAGAGATTACTTAAAAATAAAATTAAAAAAAAAAAATACAAATAAGTAACCAAGATTTTTTTTTTAAAAAAAGGACTATGTCAAAAAAGGGCACAATATTCCTCATATTTCTTCAGAACCCCAGTAAAGAAATATATGCACAGTAAAGATTAAAAAATATATTAAAGTGCCAAAATGAACTGGCCAAATTAAAACAATTAGAAATAAATAAATAATACCTAATAGAAAACTGTAGCTAGATAAGAACCAAACAATGCTTGTCTTGTATTTCTAATGATGGGTTTTTCTGTGCATATTATTGGTGCATTACTATTTGTCAGATTCCAGCTTCCTGAAGTATAAGGTACATGGGCTGATATGGACCACCATGCTAAATTTATTTATTTGTTTGAGAAATAATTAAGTGCCCACTATGGGTATTGTGCTGGGCACTACGCTAGGTCCTGGCAATTCTCCAACCCCACAAAAAAAGGACTACCCCAGCCTCAGGGATTATATTCTTGTAGAGAAGAGATTAAAGAAACACACAAATAAATGTGAAAAGATGCCAATAAAAGATACCTGACAATGCATTTCCATGAAGAGCCATCTTGATCATCCTGTTCTTCTATGTACATTCTGACATTGTGATCTTGATCCAACTGGTACCAGTACATGAGGCCATCTTTGTCTCGGCCAATTGGTTGGAGACGCATGGTATCAGCATCCTCCTCATTGATAATGTTCTTGAATTTGAGATTGTCATCAAACTGACACTCGCAGAGGTACTGGAAAATAGTCATAACATGGCTTAAAATAACCCATAAATATTTCTCTATCATGTAAATGTGGTATGTTTAACCATAAAACTGATTCAGGGATGGGAGCAGAAAAAATATGTGTAGTTTTATCCATCTTTCACTATCCTCTCCCCACTTTTGTACAACCTGTTTAGAATAAGCAATTTAAAAAGATATTATTTCAAGTTAACACTTTAATATTACTTAAATTTACAGGTTTAATATTATTAATGACACAAAAATCATATTATATTTCAAAAGCACTGTGTACTAGTCTCCCAAATTTTCTTATGTAGAAAATTTTCAATGATTCTTTTTTTTTTTTAATTTTATTTATTTATTTGAGAGAGAGAATGAGATAGAGAGCACGAGAGGGAAGAGGGTCAGAGGGAGAAGCAGACCCCCCGCCGAGCAGGGAGCCCGATGCGGGACTTGATCCCGGGACTCCAGGATCATGACCTGAGCCGAAGGCAGTCGCCCAACCAACTGAGCCACCCAGGCACCCCCCAATTTTCAATGATTCTATTAAAGCTTTTAGATGACATTATTCTTGAAACGACTATTGGTGAATTTATTAAAATAATTGTAAAAGATAATAAATTCATTACCTTTAGGAGTGCTAGTTTGCATTCAACACTCATTTCAAGATAGCCCTTCTTCTCCATCTCCCATGCCCAGGTGCTATTAAACTCTTGGCATATCTGTCAAACAAAGTTAGGATCTTAATACATAAAGAAATTTCTATTTACATTGGTATTTTATTGTACAATTATGTTAACTGTTCTTGTTTATACATATTTACAACGGAACGAGTTTATAACAAATACACTCCAAGCCAAATCCATCCTCAAATACACCAGAAATGTTTACTAGTTAACTAATGTCTGAATTTAAGTTAAGCAGTGATCTCTACAGCTCTCTCCCCTGCTCTCAAGAATTTTATACACATTTTCCCAAATGCAAAAATTATCTAATTCCCCTTCCAAATGGCCTAGAAGTTCCTTGAGGACAATAGTTGATTTATCTCCATCCCTAGAAGAGAGGTAGCATTCAAAAAGCATGTCAAATTATAGGCACATTTTAAAAAAGATTTTAAAATGTGGGGGGAAGCAGAGGGAGAGGGACAAGCAGACTTTGCGCTGAGTGCAGAGATTAATGCGGGGCTCAATCCCATAACCCCAAGATCACGATCCGAGCCAAAATGAAGAGTAGGACGCTTGACTAACTGAGCTACCCAGGCGCTCCTGTAGGCACATTTTTAATAAAGCCACTCTCCAACTCAATGTCCTCCTTTTTACAGGTAAAGATCCCATTGCTTGTCATTCGAGACCATCTATAATGTGGCAATAACTTAAATTTCTAGGTTTCTCTCCCTATACAAGCATTTCAGGCAAGCCAGAGCCACTGTAACAATCTGAGGAAAGAAGATATGGATAACCATTCCACTCAATAATAAGGACTAATCAGGAGAAATGCCATGGGTTGTATGACCTCCACGAGCCAGTTTCTTCAGCCATAAAAGGGGAGCAGTAATAATACTCATCTTAAATGTTACAAAATAGGCATGAAAAATGATACCAAGAGTCTAGCAGCTTCATGCTCTTTGTTCTAATCCAAGGGGCAAAGAGTATAATGAAGGTCAAGGGAGAAGAACCAACCAAGGGACAAGATCACTTGGGAGCTTGGGCAATTAACTAGATAGGCAGGCAGGAGAAACCCAAGCAGGCAAGTGGAACTGCTTGTATAACCACATTGACCTAAGAATAAGACGAGGCTGGCCCTCCCCTCCTAGGGATGTCACCCTTTTCCTGTTCAGCACCAGTGTCATCTTTTTTTACCAACTATATAATAAAATCATACGAGATCATCGTTAGGATAGAAAAAGAAAATAATAAGGCAAGCAGTATGGCTAGGAACATAATGGGAGATCTTCAAAGGCACAAAGGAAGAATAAGCTCTCCATTCTCTGGAATACCGTATGTCTGGCTGACAGCACTATATATTGTAGAGAGAAAAAAAATTGATACACCAAGGAAAAGGAAATTTGGGGAATATTACACAGGGAAGACCCTAAAGTAATTATATCAAAGCTAAAAGGTCAGAATCTGAATGACATTTTGCCAAAGAATATATACAAATGGCCAACAAGCACAGGAAAATATGATCATCATTAGTCATTAAGGAAATGCAAAGCAAAACCACAATGGAATACTACTTCATATCCATAAGGATAGCTGTAATCAAAAAAGAAAAATAAGGGGCGCCTGAGCGGCTCAGTGATCTCAGGGTCCTGAGATCCAGCCCCACATTGGGCTCCGCGCTCAGCTCAGTGGGGAGTCTGCTGGAGATTCTCTCCCTCTCCCTCTGCTGTTCCCCACACTTGCATGCTCGTGCTCTCTAACAAAAATAAATCTTAAAAAAAAAAAAAGAAAAGAAAAATAATAGTAAATGTTGGTGAGGATGTGGAGACCGAAATGCACAGGTTGTTGATGGGAATATAAAATGGTGCAGCTGCTTCCTAAAAAAGCTAAGCAGTTCCTCAAAATGTTAACATTGAGTTACCATGTGATGTAGCAATTCCATTTCTAGGTATTTATACAGGAAAAACCCATATAACATTCGAAGTAGCATTTTTTATAACAGCTAAAAGGTGGAAACAACCCAAATATCATCAACTGATAAATGGATAAATAATATGTGGAATATCCATACAGTGGAATTTTATACAGCTATAAAAAGGAATGAAGTAGTGATACATTCTACAGTTTGGATAAACATAAAAAACATTATGCCCAGTGAATGAAACCACATACAAAAGGTTACATATTGTATGGCTCTATGTATATGAAACTTACACAACAGTCAAACACATACAGACTAAAAGTTTACTAGTAGTTGCCAGGGGGAAGGTAGAGGGAGGAATAGGGAATGATTGCTAATGAGTAGATTCCTTTTCAGAGTGATAAATGTTCTAGAATTAAGAGAGTGGTGATAACTGCACATCCTTGTGAGTATACTAAAAAACACTGAATTGTATGCTTTAAAAGGGAACATTTCATGATATGTGACTAATATCTCAAAAAAAAAAAAAAAACCCCAGAGAGATAATCAAGAATGTACAACCCAGCTTTTGACTTGCATGAAGCACCTCCTGAGTGTTCTGTTGTATACCACACCCCTAAAAGAAGAGGATGTTGGTTGACAATCTTAAAGACTAAATCTGAGTGTGGGGAAGCTCAGGTTCAGCATCTGAGAGGGGCTGAGAATGACACCGCTCCAACTGGAGCCTGCTTGATAACCCAAGTACCAAGGCACAGCCAATGGCTCATGTAGTCAGATATCAAATACAAATGAACAACTCTTAATTATCTTTTATCGGGCACCTGGGTGGCTCAGTAGGTTAACTGTCTGCCCTCGGCTCAGGTCATGATCCCGGAGTCCCAGGATCGAGTCCCGCATTGGGCTCCCTGCTCAGCGGGCAGTCTGCTTCTCCCTCTGACCCTTCCCCCTCTCGTGCTCTCTCTCTCTCTCTCACTTTCAAATAAATAAAATCTTAAAAAAGAAAAAAATTATCTTTTATCATGTGAAAGGGGAGAAAAGTGAAAGTGAAAGAGGGGTAGATAAATAGATAATTAAGATAGGGGCCTCTCTGCCTCACACTACTTACCTTCAATTTACTGACCTTCCTTATTTATAGGTTAGGGTGCAAAATTCTTGTGCTGATATTCAGAGATGAATATGCTATTCATTTTGTTTCTTTAATAAGGCGATGTAGACATATTATTGTGCCATTTATGGAAAAATAAACCTTGAAACTTATCATATTTGCCCAAACAGCCATAACCTATTGCTATCACAAAGTAAAGACTGTAGAGAAAAAAAAAAATGAATACTGTAAATGACAAATAATTACGCAGGACTATATAAATCTACACCAGGGGTCAGCAAACTTTTTCTGTTAAGGGCCAAACAGGAAATAATTTAGGCTTTGCAGACCATACGGTCTCTTTTCAACTATTCGACTCTGCTGTTGTAGCGCAAAAAGCAACCACAGAAAATATATAAATGAATAAACTTGGCTGTGTTCCAATACCACTTTAGTTATGGATAAGGAAATGTGAATTTCATGTAATTTTCATATGTCAACCATTCTCCGAACCATTTAAATATGTTAAAACCACTCTTAGTTTTCAAGCCATACATAAGTAGACAGCAGGCCAGATTTGGCCCATGGGCCAATGTTTGCCTAGAGTGCCAGAAACTAGCTGTGTCTATGAGACTGTCTATGACAGTTATTCTTGGATCCTTGTGAGACACAAAAACTGAAGGGACCCCTTGTAAAACTGCTTTTTTTCCCTGCTTCTATTCCTGCTAGGATCTACACCCTGACCTTACATGTCTTATGGAACAGATAATGTATGTCCTCCTTCTAAAGGTCAAGGAGGTAATGACTTCTTTGGAAGTCTTCCAGCACAATAGATAACATCTAAGGAGTAACCAGGCAGGGTCAACATGAATGCTTTCCAAGACCACTGACTCATCAAGACCCTTGGCTGGCACCAGTGATAAGTGACTTATGAGAAACATCTAAACACTCATCTTTGTTTACGGATGTGTGAGAAGACTCGTGAACCAGACAACAATCCTCAATAAAAACCCAGACCCCAAGCAAGACTCACTCTCCTTTCCTGAGTCTCCCAGATGCTCTGTCTGTATCTTCACTCTCTCTACATCTTTAATAAACTCTGCTCTCACTTCCTCTTGGCTCACATTTGATTTCTATCCTGCACAAAGCCAAGCTGCTGGAGGGGAGGTGGGTGGGGGGGATGGGGTAATTGGGTGATGGGTATTAAGGAGGGCACATGATATGATGAAAAAAAAGGAAAAAAAAAAAAAGCCAAGGACCTTCTTGGCTGATCCTGAGAGACCCCTTCTGGGTCCAAGGACCCAGCAAGCCTGGATCACTTGCATCAAGAGAATCCTTAGTAGATTATTAATTCATATTAACTCCCCATGCTCCAACTTGATTCTGATCAAACAGTCTTGTAAAAATAATTTGGTTTTGCATGTAATTTCTCTTTAGAGAATGATCCAGTATCTAAAACATGAACATTTTTGTATAATGTTCATATTTATCATCCTAAGTTATTATTCCATAATACTGGTTTTATGTCTGATTCTCTCTAATCTGATTAATGAGAGGTCATATCCTGTTGTATCGCCCTGTATGGTGCCTGAGGAACAGCCTTTCTGATATACACATGAAATCAAAGTTCTGTGCCTGCAAGGCTGAATGCCATTCAGGCCTCTTGGCCACCTGCCTGCTGCCATTCCAATAACTCCTGGGGCTGTCTTTTCCTCCTAACTTACACAGAGAAAAACAAGGATGAGGATGGAAAATGGGATGGGGGGATTTAAAAGTCCACATCATCTCAATATTTATTAGGAAAGGTGGTTTCACATACCTACCTATACAGCAAATACAGGGAATTTATCTCAGTGAGATCATTAACACATTAATCTTGGAGACATATAATCCTTCTCTTTTGACAACACAGAATATAAAGCATTAAAAGGGAGCAGGATGGGGGGGCATTAAAAAGGGGAGGGATGGGGTGGAGCAGAGAACTGCAAAAGCCCTCAGCATGAACATCCAAACACCTGAATTAAGAGACTAAATCCTCCCCCCACTCATGCTCTC